GGGGGGGGGGGGGGGTGTGCCGCGGCCTCTCGGATTAGGGCGGTGTGTGCGCGGGGTGAGCGTTAATAGGGACTGCTGGTGTAAGACGAGCAAATCCTGTTTCTATATAAAGCCTTGAAGTGTCAGGGCGAGAATGGGTTTGCAGGGGATGCATTTGCTTTAACAAGTGCCTCTGGTATCCTGCTAAAGCCGGACAAAGCGTGGCCAGATCGCGGCCCAGCCCCGCGGCCTGCGCCCTGGGGGAGCGCAGCGCCGGCGCCGGCTCGGCTGGGGGCGGCGCGGGGGCCGCCGACGGATTTCGGTGCAGGCGAGTTCGCAGCAAATTTGCTCCAGGAGGAGAGAGCTGGGGCCGCCCTGCACTCGGGTCTTCTCCAGTTCTCTCCCGGAGAGAGCTGTTTCTTGGCAGAGCTGACCCAGGCCTGCAGAGCAGTCCCCGTCTCGGGTGGCTTTGATATTACTGTCGAGCCAGGTCAGAAGAGAAGCAGGGCCAGGCAGAGGGTGGCGAAGGGGCCGCGATCTCGCCTGAGACCCTGGAGGTTACTGGCCAGCTCCGGCTGAGTTTGCAGGAAGCTGGAGGGGCTGCGCGTATGGGGACCCGCTGGTCACCCTGAAAGGTTGGCTTGCTTTTGTTTACAGTTTGTTCTAAACATCAGAAATGTTGTTTGCCGCTTTTTTTTGTTGTTGTTAATTTGGCAGTAACAGTTATTGCTAGCTTGATGAACTGTGAATACTAATAAAATTATATCTGCTTTAATGGGATTACAATTAGTGTGTGGATTAAAACGGATGGCAGAGTCAGGCTAAAAGGGAAAATGTCAGAAGGGAGGGCAGTCAGAAAGAAAAACATAAATTACCTAAAAAGAAAAAAATACGAGAAACTGCTTGATTACTAATGGGCGTTTAGCATTTACAACGTGAGATACGAAAAGTTCGAGCACGCTGGGAGTAGAGGGGCTGGACTCAGCACTCTCCTGGAATCAGTCCTTCGCCCGAGTTTCCTGTTCCAGTGCGAGCCTTCTGCAAGACTGCTTTTTTTCTCTTCCTTGCTCTTCCTTCTTCCTCTCCCTTGCTTTTTTCTCTTATAGATTTATAACTCAAAAAAGCAAAAGTACTTGCCTGGGCAATTGGTGATTTTAAATATCTGTCCTTGCTGTTCCTGTGGTTGTCTCTCCTGCCCCTGCATTGGAGATGCTGCCCACCCAGCTCAGCCCACACTGGGGGGTTGAGGTTGGGGGCTTGTGGTGGCCGCAGGGACAGTGCTACAGTTTCCCTAGCCCCTTCTGGCTGCGCGCACACACACACACACACACACACACCGCATATGCCATACCCTCTAGCCTGGAGGGTACAGAAACAAGGGTCTGGAAGGGCCCCTGACACCAAGGCTCTCCCAGTAGTACACAGACAGGCTGGGGCTATGCCCCCCATGGGGTGGGGCAGGGCCGGACCAGATTCCCCGTCAGTTCAGGTCACTGCTGTCTCCCTCATCCCCATTCAACAGCCCACGGCCCCCCCAGGTCCTGGTCAGCCGCCATCTCCCCTTTCTGTTCTTATATCCAGATGCCGGCACCACCAAATCAGGTGGGAACGTGGTCTGGGTGGCCCAAACCATTGTCTTGTTCATTCCAAGTTTGACCACGTGGTTCTTGGATCGTAGGCCATGGAGGGTTTGGAGAAATTGGGTGGGTGCTGGCTTGGTCTGTGTCCTTGACCCAGACCCTACCCACCTCCCCCATATGCAGGGTGCTCTAGGGGGCGCTGGAGGTCCCCAGGGCACCCTTTGGGGGGGGGAACTGGAGGGCCACGTGTCCCCTGCTCCTGGAGGCTGTTTCCACCTCCCGGGGGACCAAAGAGACCTATTGTGCTTGGAGATGTTCAACCCATTTGTGACGGGAAGGCTGGCCTACAGGGCGTCCAGCTAGAAACATCTGCCGCTGAAAGCCTTTTGAAATTGCTGAAAGCCAGTATCTTGTATTGGTTTCAAAATATAGCTACATCAATTTTTTTTTAAAGGAATTATACCCCAGACTATTTTGCTTTGGTCTGTATCTGTATATGATCTAGTTTAAGAAGAAAAAGGTATAATTAAGTTAAAAATTTTTTTGCATCTCTCGTATGGATTTCAAAATGGCCAGTTTGGCAGACTTTCTTCCCATTTTCACGGATGGCCTCAGGTCCACAGGCCACGGCTGCAGCAGCCCATCCCGCCCCTCCCTGCACTGACTACCCTGCTGAAAGGAAAATTGCTCCGAGCTCCTTCCTATTTGTCCGGCTCTAACATGGGAGTAAGATCCAGCCACCGGAGATTGAGTCCCTGGCTTCTGAGGATTGCTCGTCCCTGGCACAGACACACGGCCTGGCCAAGGGTCTCCCTCCCTGCCCACTGCCAGTGCTGCCCTTCCTCGTCCCCACCCAGTGCTTTCAAAATGTCAGCTTGAGGGACCCCGATGGGATATTGGGCTCCAGGGCTTCTTCCATTGTTTTTCTAAAACTGAAAGTGCCGATAGCTTTATCATCGGGCTGAAGGGTTTTATGGTAAAGTGCTGTTCCAGTAACCTTGTCACCAAAAGGTGTAATTAGAATGTTTGGAATCGTTATTTTTAGTGCAGTGTTAGATTTTGTCTCTAATACAGATGGTCCGGAGGCAAAGCTGTGAAATCTAGGGGGAAAAAAAAGGAAAATCAACAACGCACCAACCCAAGATTTTTCATCAGCGCTACTGCCTGGAGCGATTGGGGATCGCGCCTCTCCTCCGAGCGCGTTTAGTAGGAGGCAGCCCGGCCTGGGAGAAGCCCAGTCCCCGCCCCCTCTTCTAGCCCATCAGCTCCTGCCCTCCATCCTTCCCTGTACGTCCCCCTCAGGGCTGAACCTTCGAGAATCACCGGGTCTCCACCCGAGGAAGGCGGAGGAGCCGATCAAGTCTTGGTTTCAGCAATGTGACAGCGGGTGGGTTCTCCTCTCCGCCCCTTCTCCCGGCTTCTTTGGGGTGTAAATGGCCGGGCCTGGAAGCCAGGTGCCCTGGGCCTGCGGTTGTTGGGAGTAAACAGGACGGCACGTTCCTTCTGGTGGGAGAACCACAAACTTCTCTCCTGCTAACAGTGCTTCTGATTGCCAATCTAAAAAAAAAAAAAAAAAAAAAAAAAAGGAAAAGAAAAAGAAAAGAAAAATGCAGAGGAAAAAAAGATAATTTCCGGGTGTGAAAAGACCCCATCAAAGGGTCCCCCTCCCTCCTCATGTGATATTTTTTTGTAAAGAAAAAAAATACATTTTCATAAATACCTCATTAACTCAGTGACACGGTGGAGTGTTTCTGCAACAGTTACCAACATTAAGTAGGTGTGAAAAGAGTTACTTTCCGAAGACTCTACCCATCCTGCTCTGTAAGTGAAGGAAGCAGACATCAAAGCCAAGGCTGCCCTGCGGAGCCAGGAATCCAGTGGCCTCGTGGATCAGCCAGGCTGTGGCCGCCTCACCCACCCCAGTGAAGCCATTTTTGGAATGTGGGTTTTTTCTCAGTGGGGCTTGTACTGCCCCCATGTCTGATTTTTCCTACAAGGATATTCCTATAGGAATATCCAGGTCACGTGAGCACTAAGGCAAATTAGCCAGCGAGGCAGGGAGCGGCCTTGTGCCATCCCTCATCACCCCCAAACGCTCCCGTGTATTCTTAGAAATCTCCCTCGTCTGCTGTGAGACTGGGTTCAACAGCCCGCACAGACAGGACAAAACGCACAGGAGGCTGTTAGAATAACATGGAGGGAGCTAAAAATACCCCTCAGAAACACACATAAAAAAGCCAAATCCAACAACAGAACGAGCTAAAAATATTCCAGGCTTTGGCAAAGAGCACAGAGTTAAATAAATTATACAAGAGCCATTCATGGGAGCAAGTTGACTTTCTCTCTTACGGGAACTTGGTTCAAGCTAATAAAAATAATAATTTACTGGCCACTGAGCTTTGCTTGAGTTTAGATTTAATTGGTGGGGCTTCTGGCGTTTGTCACTTCTTGGCGATTAGTGGGCTTGCCCCTGGCCTGGGTAGGGTGGGGATGGGGTGCTGAGTCTGGGTCCCTGGAAGCAGGGCAGTGTCTCTCCCCACCAACCCGAAGAGCAGGGCCTGGGTGCAAGGGCAGGATGCCCAGGAGGCCAGAGGAGGGAGGCTGCAGGGGAGTGGTCAGGGAAGGCAGAAAAGGGGACAGGCAAGGCGCCGCTATTTTAATTTGATAAATGATCGTATACCTTTAAGAGTGTGTTTTAACAATCAAGATACACTCCAGCAAGTTGATAGGATGTTCGCTGTCAACTTACATATGTCATCAGCGGGGGCTGTGAGCATAAATAATGTGCGAGAGTGTGCGGGATGCGCTATAGCCTCTCCAGGAGCCCGGCAGGTAGCACCCTTGTCTCTCCTGCTGTCTGGGGGCAGCTGCCAGAGGAGGATAGGAGTCGGAGCACTTCAGGCAGGGTTTTTTTTCCCTCTGGGGAGTTCCCAGGTCTTCCCACCAAAATAAGAGCTCCAGATGGCTTGCTCAGAGAGACCACTGCGGGTATGATCTGAGGCTGGAATCCAG